TAATCAAGAGTAAACATTATTATTAAGTTTCAATATATTCCATACAATTATATTTTGATTGTATTTCAAAATTTACTGCCATAAGGCCTATTCTTTTTAGCTGCATAAGTCATTTTTCTCTTTTTATGTTGGAGAGGTAAAGAGAAAAGATAAACTATTCAAGAAATTCAGCTAAAAAGAACAAATCTAGTAATGAAACTATTCTAAAGTATAGACTTATAATATTCTTTATAATGCATGTAACATAAACTATAAATTTTCAATTGGCAGTAAATTTTGGAGTACAATTTCTAACTTGGGATCTGCTTTTTATTCCTGCACTAGACTACAATATAATTTTTTCTTACTTTAGCTAAATATCTCTATTTCACTTTAAGTTCCAAAAGTATATATACTAGATATAAAAAACAGACCTTTACTTGTGGTAATAAAAACCAAGCAATTTACCGCATTGATGTCTGCATGTATCTGACGTAATTCCTCTACGTGTGCCATTTTCTCCTGCATCAGCAAATCCATTTCCTGCTTGTATTCTAATAAACATTTCTCCTCCTGTTCGGTCTGTTCCACCTCTTGCAATATTCTCTGTTTCAGTTTCTCCAATTGAAGGGTCTTTGACCTGTGTGAGGAGCACAACAAAATGAAACACCCAGTCGAATAAATTTCTTATGCAATGTATGAAAGAACAAGTGTCAAACGAAATTGCGTATCATACCTAATGTCTTTTAAAGCTTCTAACTTCGCAAAAATCACCGCCGTTTCGGATGCCGACATGCCGGAGGTTAATCCTCGTTATTTACGATTGCTTGAAGTTTACGGAACTTCAACAACGATTTCCACTGAACTGGAGTTCGACTACTGCATATTTAAATTCAATATCGGAGTGATTAACGAGCGGTTAACGAGAGACAAAAAAAGCGTTTCACAGGAAGAGAATTATTCCGGGAGTTATGCGCGATTAAAGGGATTCCGTGAACCGGGACTTTGGCGAAGCTGTTTGACAGAATTATCAAACAGCTTACAGCAGTCGCAAGAGCACAGCGGACTCGGTTCATCAATCGCTTTTTTTTCTTTTCACCCGCGTAAGATAGCGAACTTGAAATCTATGCAACGAGATGAACGCGACGCGCCATCTGGGATGCTGAGGCTCGCAATCTCAACAGGCGCTCCAATTCAATTTCCCACGATTTTTTTCTCGCGTTCTGCAGTCTTTGGATGATTCGCTATTTGCATCAAAATTCACGATGGAATTTCATTTAATTCCATAAAATATTTCAAAAATTGAAAAATTGTGATGAACGTTGAAATGCACATGTACAAAAAATGTGCGGCTTATAAAATTATAAATAAATTCCCATTTTGAAATTTGACGAATACATAAATATAAAACGCACAAAATAAGTTTTAGATATGTTTCATTTGTTTCTCGAGAATTTTTGCCTCTTTGTCGAGCCGCACATTTTTCGTATACTTACATTTAAGGCTTATAAATATACTGATTAATTAGTTTGACTAATTAATTTGAAGGACAAAATTGTAAACAGCCACATTTCTCGGTTATAATTTGTTATCCCCAATCACACAAGTTGGTGATTTCTACAAGTTAAACAACAAGAGATTAATAATTTTATTATTTGATTCTAAAATAAATATCACGGTATTTCACTTGATATGTGTTGTATAAGAATAAAGATAAATTATATATTAGTAAAAACGGATATAATAACGCTGTAATAACGTTATTAACGTCTATATATATTAATTATATCCATTTGTATTAATTTAGATTAATTACTTTAATCTTGATTTAATTTACTAATTTAATTATCTTTTTTTATTTCTAAAAATTAGAAAAAGATAAAAAGGAAATAAAATCAAAATTAAAGTTAATCGATCTACACTAGTTGAAATGAACATTTTTATGTATTTGTCCAATTCCGCATTTAATTTTGTTCGATGTATATAATAAAGATCGTGTACAATATACATAATTGCTTCAGTTATTTAATTGAACGACCATATTTAGCACAAACGCAAGAGACATGAATAATAATGTACCATTGATCTCTATTTAACCCTGGAATAGAGCTAGTGACGTAGTAACGTACGTTACCTAACTTTCTTAATGCTTTGCTCCGATAAAATATCCATAACTCAGCTCTAGCAATTATATTATCTCTCGATAATTTTAAGCCGAACGAATGACGCGTTTCTGTCAAATAAAGATGATTCCACTTAATTTTTATTTATAGGAAATATAATAAATAATTAAAATATGTATACGTTGACGTTTTTATTTGCACAAATAATATCACAAGATTCTTGAAAAAAGATAAAAATTACAAAAGTGAGCAAATTCATGAGATATTGACTAATAAAGACTATAAATATTCGTTCATTTTTATAATTTTACTTCATTTCAAGAATTCAAGAACTGTATAATAAGTAGTTTCTTTTCTTTTAATTTCCCTCTTATTTTTTCATGAATTTTCTATCTTTTTTATCTTCCGCCAATATCTTATCGACAATGATAAACGTTGCAAGTTTCCAAGAAACGAAAGTAGGCGTAGATGGCTTCACGTGCATGATCTTCGACACAACTCGTGAGATCATCGATGTCAATTGGTCTTCTAAATCGATCGTTGGATACAAAATCGTCATGATTCAACGAACAGAAACATGCAAATCACAAAGTCGGAAAGAAGAGAACGAACAGCGGAGGATGTGACCGAAGCAGGTAAGTGACAACCCTCATAAATCTTCATTCCCTCTCGATTTAGCCCAGGGTGCATCCCAAGGAGACAGTGAGAAGGAGATTCCCATTTTCAAGCGAGCGCGGTCGAGCTTGCGCGCAAGCGCAAACGCTCAAGAATTGCGCGTGCGCAATCCGTTAGGCCCTGGAGGGGCGTAGAAAGGAGGCCATATTGTACAGTTAAATTGAAAGAACGAAAATAATTGTATCGCCGTTGGCCGATCGCTCGCGCTCGCACCGCCATCGGTTCCCCCGGTCTTCTGTTCCCCCGTTATCGTTCGCGTGCGACGGCGAATCTCTTTGCTAATCGCTTTGCGTCGCTCGTTCACGTCCGCGGCGGAGCCAGGAGAAGCGAGAGAGCTACGAGCACACACACGGGAGCCAATCGGCGGCTCCTCGGCCTTCTCTGCCCTTTGTATATAAGCCATACGTCGTCGCAGTAGCGCGGTTCCAATTCCCCGGGGGTAACCGACGTCGGTTCGCTGAGAAGTGCTTGTTGCTCGCTGCGGTCAAGATGGGCACTCGGGACGACGAGTACGATTATTTATTTAAAGGTAAATCGCCACTTCGCTCTCTCTCTCTCTTTCTCTCTCTCTCTTTCTCACGCCCTTTCTTCC